TCGCCTTCTTTTGCTCCCATTTTTTGTTTTTTCCATCAAATTCCAAAACTGATAGGAATTTTTTTTTTTTTTTGAACAGCAAACATACTATTATTAATTAATAAGCGGAATACAAGGGGTACTTCAAACTCATGCATATCAAAAAATTAACGCAATGTGTCGACACCACAGAAGAAGTGTCGACACTACACCCGTGTCGGGAAATCTGCTTTCTTTTGCATTCCAAAACTGATAGGAATTACTCCCACTTGAAAATTAATTAAATCCAACTGTGAACAAGAGACAATTGATTGGGGGCCCTCCCCATTAATGGTTAAAGACTATATCAGATTGTAGTTTGCATAATACATTTTTCGTTGTGATTATGTTGATTTTTAAGGGTTTGAGTCTCCGAAAATCAGAAAAAAAAAAAAAAATCTTCTTGATAGGCAGATCAAAGTGTTCAATCCCATGTTAAGTGTGTTAATTGTGCTATCGATGGGTTCGTAACTGCCTAATGTGTATTAAACTATAATGAATAATATTTTGTATTTACTCACTATAAAAAATATTTTTATTTTTATATAATTTATTAATTCATTTTTAAATGAGTAAGTTCTCCTTTTAAATTTTTTTGAATTTTTAAATTTTAAATTTAAACTCATAATTTGGCTTTTTATTTCACTTAGATATTCTTGTTAATTAAAAATTTTAGTTTATATATTATGAAAAGTTTTAATAAAATTTTTTAAAATTATGAAGATAAAAAGATTAAAAAAAAAACCTTCTTAACTTTATTCTTTTTTTATCAACTCCAAACAAGAAATTTAGCAGCCTTCAGTTTTTTATTTTTATTTTTTTAACTTCTTAATGTTGTTTTCTTTTTGAGGGACTTAATGTTGTTTACTGTTGGGTAAATTACACACAAATGGTCACTAACCTTTATAATAACTTTGAGTTTAGTCGCTCTTGTTCTAAATTTATAAATTTAATCAACTCACCTATATTTTAACATTCTCCGTCAAATACTCTCCGTCATTTCCCCAAATACCGTTAAGTGGGGGTGATGACTTGGCATGGGGGAACAAAATTGATGACTTGAGTCTTATGTGAAAATGAAAATGATTGACAGAATTGTTTAATATAATTTTTTAATATAATATTTAATGATTAGTTTTTTTATTTTATTTAAAATTTTTAATATTGTATATGTTTATTTATTTAATCATATATAAAAGTTATGAATAAAAAATTATATAAATTTTTTTTAAGCTGTGCTCTTAAACCTTATTAATTATAATATTTATAATTAATTTTATATAAATTTTTATATTAAATTCAATAAAAATAAGATATAAAATATAAAATTAAAATATAATATAATATTTATACTAAACATTTGTAAAAATTTAAGAATTTAGTATGAAAATTTGTGCATAATTAATTACAAATATTCTAATTAATTAAATTTAACCTGTACTTTTAAAATATAAATTAGATAAACACATAAAAAAATTATCTCATATATAAAACAAATACAAGAATTGCACAAAATATAAAGAACACCGAATACATGAAGTATGAAACAACACCAGCCCATCACGCATTAAAATCCTCATATTCGAACTGATGGCTTTTCAGTTTTTCCCTAAATACATTGCACATCTACTTGGATCTATGTTCCATATTTCCGTTTAAAAAACTTAAACTGTACATTCCTCCACCTACCAGTTAACCAATGATAGGTTGACCTATACCAATGTCATCTCTAACACTTTAAATAGCAATAGCGACTAAACTTCCAACTAAAAAGAAACAGTAACCATCTAAAATTATTTCGACTTTGTTTAGCAGTATTTAGCAAACAAATAAAAGGTAGAATGTTCAAATGAAATAGCTTAACCAAAAAAGTTCCAAAATGTTGGAAAAAAAATCGAAAATTATCAATTCCTTTGCTGAATTTAATTGTTTTTCAAATTCTTTGCTGAATTTTCAGGTTGGAGTTTCGTACCTATTACTTTTTGCTGAATTCCTTTTTTTTTTTTTTTTTATGATCGACTACTTTTTCCTAAATTCTACTGTTACTTTTGGGGACGAAATTCTTGAGTTAGGTCATTCCTTTTTTCTTGGCCCACGTCAATGTCATCCCTTCACTTAACGGCATTTTGGACAGATAACGGAGGGTGATTAACAGATAATGTTAAAACAATGCTGCGTAATTAAATTTACAAATTCTATAGGAGAATGACTAAAGTGAAAGTAATGATAAAGATTAATGACCATTTATATACTTTACCCTTTACCTTTTTGATTGAATTTCATCCAAACTCAATTCTTCGAAATGACAACATTTAACAAGGGCAAAACATGCAAATTAGCCCTTCAACTCGCTGAGTGGTGGCAGAATAGCCCCTCAACTGCATTCACTCGCAGACTAGCCCTCCAATTTGCATCTAGTCGCAAATCAACCCTTCTGACGACCATGACGTGATTTTTAACCTTTTTGCTTTCTATTGACTTGACATTCCAATCCTTGAATTCAATATTCTTTGGATTTTTAGTCCTTAAACTTATATTTGGTATGAAAACAACTTTTATTCCTATATTATTAAATTTTTTAATTCTTCTAAGGCTAATGCTTTACAGACTTTATAGACATATCTTTCTCATAGTAACTCATCAGTTCTATAAGGAATTATTCCTTCTTCTGCTATGATCTTAATTATAAAATTCATCTAATGATCATAGAATCTTATTCGCTTTCCCAACTCCATTCTTAATAACATTGTCTTGTTGGCTCTAATACCAAAATTTGTCTGAGGTTTTTGAACTTAACTCAGACTACAAACTAATATGTAACTGGTATGTTAAGTTCAGTAAGTGTGGAATTAGATCTATTAAGTTGCTAGTAAAGATAGTCTTTGAGTCATTTTAAATCTTCATATAAATCTGTTGCTGTTCGCTTTAACTTTTGAGATTCTTAAAAAACTAATAATCATCCAAATCTTTAATATTACTTATTTTTTTCTAAAACATTAACTATTTTATTTTTATAATATTTGCTTTGTTGCTCATAAACCATTTTATCTAAAATGATTTCTTGAATGAAGTCAAGCATCTTAAAGTATTACAAATAAGCTTTAAGATGGGCTTTTATTTGAAATATTAGAGGTTAGGTACTATTTCCCTATTATTTCTAATCTCAAGAATAATAATGTCAAAGAATAATAAAACTATTTCTATGCCCACTTAGCTTTTGCATGATAAAACAAATGTGTTAGAATTATAACTGAAATATCTTTTAGTCTAGCCTTTAGTCAAGCTGACGCTTCCTTTGTGCACCCTTTAGTGCTACACTCTAGCCATCATAGGTATATGGATAGGACATGTGACCTCACTGTTACCTAAATGGTTTTAGGAATTCTTCTCATTGTTGTTATGATGGAAATCAGGAAGGATAGAAACAGAAGAGTTATTCTAAGACATTTTTAATTCTGATAAGAGAAAGGGAAAGTTCCCTTTCCTCTTGAAAGGAGTTTACAGGTGCAAGGTAGAAGGCTTTCAAGTAAGATATTTGGATGTTCAAATAGTTGATACTTGTTACAGCTTGTAAGAGGCTTTTTATAGCGCTCCTTAGAATCTTTTCTTTTGTCATTACTGACATTTAAAGTTTACATTATTGTTTGGTGATCTAGACTTACTTCTTTCGTTTACTAAAATAGACTATATGGAATCCTATAGACACTCTTCTTTCTTTTTATTGACGTAAGAGCTTATGTCTTATTGGATTCTTTAGAGGATGATGAGATCCTCTTCATTGTCTAAAGAAGTGGTCCCTTCATCACATGCTACTTCAACATTTTCTTTGGTAGATGCTTTTTTGTAGTAGAAATCACAGTGGTTGTCATGCTTTAACAACTTGCAGAGTCTATTATGGACTGCTCTACTGGCTGGAACCAGATTTTCAAAGATTTCTTTTCTTTTCTATTTTATTTAACAAGTTTATGCTTGTCATCAATCTTCCTCCAATGGATAGCACTAAAATTTCATTGGAGAAGTCATAAGTCCATGTTTTCCTCATGTCTATCATTCTGTCAAAGGTCTGGACTAAAACCTTGAATCTTGGAGCTCTTCTTTCTTGGATGAACTTAATTCCATAGAGAGATTCTTCAAAATCTTGGAAAATTTGATCTTCATTTGCTTCTACTTTAATCTTCTTGTATTGAACTCCAATTTGAACTATATGGGGATTGGGAAAATATTGGGACTTCTTGCATTCTGGTGCTACAGAGTAGATCTTGACAAATACTACCCCTTAAGCTTTGGTGCCAATTTTGAAGTATTTTACTCAACGTATAACTTTTGCAAATTCTAAAATCTCCTTATTATTTTTTCAGAGATAGATACAATTTACAAAACCATAGTGGAATACTTCTTTTATTGCTTTCGGGTTAGAACGTTGCATAAAATTAATTCTGGGATAAATCCCTTCATAGTAAGATGGCAATTCTTAGTCGGCCTCATTGAATATGCCATTTTACAAATTTTGCGGTATTGCTGCAGATATTCTTCAGTCCTTGTTATTTTTAACAAAGTTTTTATTATTGTAACTTTCTTTCTTGAGTAATCAGGTTGACAATTATGGCTTTCTCCAGTTTGAATAGTCGACTTTTTAGCTTGAGATGTTGATATAGAGGAGAGTATTTGATATAATAGTCACACTTTCCTGAACTTTCTCCAAGTAACCCTATTGAAGGATCACTTTATTCAAAATTTTCTTTTAACTCTTGTTGGAAGCTTTTCTTTGCCATTTGGAGCTGATTCTGACAATAGTAATTGCTCTAGATTTCATTAAATTTTCTATTAGCTCTTTGACTTCTTCAAGGGCATCTTGTCCCATATTCAATAACTCATGGCCTTTGATAATTTTTTCTTGGCTTTCATCCATAAGGCTATGGCCTTCATCGACTATTTCTTGGCCTTCGAGCATTTTATCTTGGCCTTCTCTTATTTGGCTATTGCCTTCAATGAGTTTCTTTTGACTTTCAAAAATAAGGTCTTTTCCTTTATTTTGGAGTTTCAAGATTTCATCTATTAAGCTCAAGAAATCTGCAAAACAACTATTAGTTCTTTTTACATGTTCAATTTCAAAATCATACTTAGCAAAAAATGTTTGCCATCTATTTAATCTTTTATATTTGGTATTAAAGGTAATTTATTAAAAATAAATCTCTTAATTTGAGTATTATCAGTTTTAATCTTAAAATGTTTTCGTAATAAGAACAAACTAAGCTTTTTTATTCCATTTTTAATGGCCATTAAAGTTGTAATTGAACTTTCGTTCCAATTAGATTCATGTTTAACCTCTATGTGGTTTAGAGATTCGTACATTTAACCTCTAACTTTTTAAGATTTTACTTTTATTATTAACAAACTTAAGAGGTTAAGTGTATATTTTTTAAATCATAAGATGGTCAGGACTCGAGCACATTCGTAGGGTTTAGGAAACAAAGGGCTGATTTAAATGCACCCACTCCCAACGACGTATGAATAAGTGCAATTTCCCCTTAATTAAATGAAATATTTTTGTTTTGAAATTGGAAAACTCTTCCTCTAAATATATATATATATATATTAATTATTTTCAAATTTCTTTAAAGTTCATAGTTTTGTAATTTAAACTGTCAAATTTTCTATTTTTTTAAGTTTAACCAAGACATTCAAATGAGAAGGGTATGTCCCCTACCCATCTAGTGGCTAATTTTGG